ACACGTATTGATTAAAGTATTAAATATATGTTTTTGTGTGAAATATTCGATATTGCCTGAAATACATGTCAAGAGCATATCTGACAATGTATGATGATTTGATACAGATTTAACCTAAATTAATTAAGAGGAATATTGGGTAGTATCTCCTTATGAGTACGAGTGAGATATACGGGGGTAGAACTTTAAAACTTGTCATTGATCCGATAGCATGGATTAGACTTAGTCATTCGTATGGAGAGGACATAGTATATGTCATTAATCTGGGAGCATGGATTGAGACTGAGTCAATTATCCCTAGTCTGAGCGTATGGAATAGGAAAAATTATTGATCTGAGAGTATAGATTATACATACTTGATCCAAGAGTATGGATTAAGTTAAAAGGTTAAATTTATATCCGAGTGTATGGATCGTATCGTTGTAAGGATCGACAGAGTGGGATAAGAATTGCTTATATAAGATGAAATTGTATATTTTGTGAGTTCTAAAATATATATATATATATGATATAACATTGTGGGGTTGAAATCCCTATGTACTCACCAGGTTTCCTAACCTGATCCACTCAGTTTATTTGTATCACAGATGTCGATATGAAGCTACGTTCACTGAGATATGAAAGGAGATGTAAATCACTAGTGTAAATGAATGTAAGATTTGTTTATGCTTATGTTTATGTATTGACGATGACATCCCAAAGTTTTAATATAAACAAAATATATTTCTTCGGAAATGCTTTGATAATATTATTATCATGTTTTTCTCGGAACATATTCTACAATATTATCCTTTAAAATGAATACTCTGATTTTTTAATAAGCATAAAGAAAATTTTTAAAATGACCATGAATGGGATGTCACATTAGCTGCTCACAAGCCAGCTGTTGTGACTTTCTCACTTCTTAACTACTCTACTCTTGTTGCATCTAAAAGTTGTATTTTCATGTACTTACTCTATTATTACATAGGGAAGTCACACACTCATCATGTTTCTAACTTCTCATCTCTATATGACATTTGGTCATTCTATCCTCTTACTGGAATATACACACAATCTTAGATTCTTCTCATGAGTCCACTATCTTCTCATTATTCTATGCAACTCCATAGACTTTATTTGTAAATGTCCCTTATTGCACACAAGGTTTAATCTTTCATCTTTCTCTAAAATTTACTCACAAGTAAACTGTTATACCACATATGCATATCTACATAATCTAAAGGTTCTATCTGTCATACCCCCATCCGGAGGCGGAAACATCGGTTGTATGATTATTCATGGATCATAGCTCATTTTCATACAAAGAAAATTACAAAAATATAATATAATATGCCTTCTATTATTGGATAAAAAGAGATTAGATCATATCTGTTTAGTTTTTACATAGTAGTTCAGGTACGATGTGTGCCTAAACAGTTAGGTATTTAAACAAACAAAAAACAGAACTATAACTGATAACGAAATTTCCAAGAGTGTTTCTGATTGTGTGTAACTCGAACATATTATGTTCATGAATACAATGTGTTTTGAAAAGTAGATAAATCTAAAGTTGGTGCATTCACAATTTTTGACTATATGTACTTTTTAACCCAAAAAGTATAGATTTACAGTATATATAAGTATTTTCTAACTTATATAAAATAATAATTTTTATAACCAAACAACATACGATTACCATATATAAGTCTTTTCTACTTATAGGAAATGATATATTTTATATCCAAAAGTATATGTTCACAGTATATAAATGTTTTCTAACTTATATAAAATAGTACTTTTTTAACAAATAAAATATATACATTTATAGTATATAAGAGTTTTCTACTTATATAAAACAATACTTTTTCTAACCAAAAAGTATACATTTACATTATATAAGTGCTTTCCTAATTATATAAAATAGTACTTTTTATAACCAAAAGTATACATTCACAATATATAAGTGTTTATGATGCTTATATAAAATATAGATACTTGTACATGGTACAAGTATGTACCTGGACTAGAGTGTACTCGATGTTACCATGAGACCATAACCGAGCTAAATGACCTGTTTACTGCCTCTACTTGGAGCTAAAATAGGATGATGTTGGATTATGTGTCTACGCCCATAACTATAATTGGTATATATTTAAATTGATAGTAACACAGTCCTTTTGGGTTGCCCTCATACTAGCAACTAGACATGATGAATTTTGGAGAGAAAGATTATATTTATTATTTGCATAATAAATTAAGATAATTGATTTATTAATGTATTATGGAAATAATATATTAATTATAAATCATATTATTTAATTCATATTTAATCATACATTAATTTGGTATTAATTTTGGGATTAAATGAATTAATTAAAAGTGCAGGGGTTATTTGGCAATTTATTGATAGTTGTGGATGAACCCTCCTATATGGATTGGATGAAATCTTCTAGGAATGTCCTAGAAATTTCCTGCAAGGGCCTCTTATATGGAGTTCTTGGGCTACTTAGGAATTTGGGTTTCCTTCTTAAAACCCTAGCTTTGGCTCTAAGATAACACAACTATAAAATGGGTTGCACCCCTTCCTGTTTTCGGCACTCCAACCCTAAAAAGGATAGCCAAAATTCTCAAGTGTTCTCCTCCTCTCTCCTCTCTCACCCTCTTTCTTACTTTAGTTGTGAACCATTAGAAAATAGCATAACAAACAATCCCTAATGATTCAAATTGTTATTACTGCATAATAATTAAACGTATGTTTACTATCTTTTATTATGATTTTTGAAAATAGAAGATACCTCCTAGGTTTTTCCTTTTGATGTTCAATACTTGTATGTTCAATTAGAGAAAACATAGCTCTAAATATTAGGGTTGCACCCACACATAGGGATTGTTTGTTATGCTCAAAACCCATCAGTGGTATCAGAGTCTAGATTTGTTTTCTATTGAATATGATGCAATTGGTTGAATTTGATCAATTAGGGTTTATGGAAAATAAACCCTTTTGGACTTAGGGGCTTCATAATTTAGGGTTTCCTAACCCTAGATTTCAAAATTTTGGAAAAAGGGTTGTAATCCTTTACCTTGACCTACAAGATTTTGTTTTTAGGGTTTCTTAACCCTATGATTTTTCGAAATCATGGCAAGGATTTGAAATCCTTGCCTTCTTCCCCCAGATTTGCCCAATTTTGGAAATTAGGGATTTGGTAGGGATTTCTTAATTTTGGCATTTATCTCTTTATTTGATTAACCAAATAATTGCAAGATATGTTTGATCCCTTCCATATTTTCAAAAATTACTAGATATGATAGAGATTTCTTATTTTTGGTAATTATCTTCTTACTTGTTTAACTAGATTTGCAAGATTTTGTGGATCCCTCCCATATTCTCGAAATTTATTAGGGGAGTGGTTAGGTTAAGGGCGTGTTCGGCAAAATAGCTAGTAGCAGGTAACTTGTAGCGAGTAACGGGTAGCTTGTAGCTTATAGCGTTTTGTTAAACGCTACATGAAGTAGCGTTGGGATTTGGAGCGTTTTATTTAAACTAAACGCTAGAAGCTTGCAGTGTCGAACGAGACTTTCTATTCAAAACGAAATGTTTTATTAAATGCTAGAAGCTAGAAGCTCTCAAACACCCTCAAACGCTCTGTACCGAACACACCCTAAATTATGTTGATTAATTTAATGGATAATCCTAAAATTGGTTTAATAAATTAGTAAATAATTATTAAATCATTTGGTTTAATTTTAAACTTAAATTATAATTGTTTTAATTTTTGAAATTTAATAGTTAAACCTAGTATTTTAAAATGTTTTAAAATGCACCTTATACTATTTATATAATTCAAAGTCTAATATATATATATATATATATATATATATATATATATATATATATTATATATATATATATATATATATATATATATATATTATGTATAATAAAAGTCAATCAAACCGCTAGTACGCCTCATTCACGAAGTCATACTATCAGGGGAGTTTAAGAAAGCAGCCTATAAAAAAACCAATATCCATTCTTACCCACCGCTTTCTTGTATGGTGGAGGGTCGTTAGCCGAACATGTTTGATAGGATGTAATCTCATTAAAAGTATAATGATATAAAGTAACTAAACTATTTTCTAAAATCCCACTCTTAGTTACTTTAGGAAAAATGTGAATTTGATGCTAATCTATGAAATTGTATGTTGCACTTTATATAAGTCGTTAGTGGAGTGTGTATGGTTAACCGGCACACTAATATGGACTAATAAAGAGTGGCAATGGGTGTCTTGTTAATTATCATTGGTTAATGGAGCGTGTGTGATTAACCGACACATTGATTAGATGGTAAATTACATCGAGAGTACCCAGCTAATTTGTATAGTTATTCACATCTCGTTTGTAATCCTCGACATCCTAGTCACAAAGTGAGAGCATAATCGAGATTAAACATCTCATTGAATAGTTCAATGAATCTCAAAGATCTAGTTATTTCATGAGATTGAAATTGGTAAATGTCTTACCTACCTAAAATAGATTTGAATTTGATTACGACATCTCTCTTCAAAGTTCGAATCGAAAACATGGATCCTAGCCTTATGGGTTAATAATTAAGGATTATAATCAACTAACTTGAATTCTATTTTCTCATATTATAGATGTCAAGTTCAAACAACTATGGTCTTCCTCGTTCTTCTAGAAATGTTTTTCCTCTATCTGAAGATGATCTTCCACATGTTGATCAAGGTGAAAGAATGTTCCCTTTTTCGAGAAATTGTGGAACTCGAGATCATGCTTCTTTAACTCTTCCTCCTTCTCCTCCATTGACTCTCCCCAAGTGATGTTTCCTTCAAGATAAAAAAATATGAAGTCACTCAAGCCTTTTTGGCATGTAAACATCAAGATAGAAAGTCTTTGTGTGCGCATGTTCTGAAAATGAAATCGCACATTGACAGATTGGGGATGTTGGGTGTTGTTTTCCTAAGGGAGCTGGCCATTGACTTGGTTCTACTTTCTCTTCCTAAGGTGCTGTTTGTTTTTCTGAAGCCAAAATGTCTGCAGTCTGTGGACCACATCTGCAAGCCTCTGCAGCAGAAGAGGTGGACCAAACGTCTGCAGTCTGCAATAAGAAGACTGTTTGTTTTTTAACGTCTGCAGGCTGCTGAAATAAATTGAAATTTTAAATAAAATGATTTTACAAACATAAAAAGATTTTCCAACACCAAAATTTTAATAATAATAGTCTTATAACAGTGAAAATAAAATTCATGCATCTAAATTAGTCATACAATAAAAAAAATTAGTTTTACAATAACATATTCATTTAAAACAATTCAATCTATATTGTGCATCAACTGATCGGCAATTTCATCCCGTAACTGAGTCATATATTCACGGTCTGCTGTAGTACCATGTGTTGGAATCTCGTCTTCATCATCATCAACGCCCACATTGTTAGTTCGAAACGAGACATTGGGTTCATCGTATCGGTCAAAATACTCATCACTCATTCCTTCTCTCCTTATAAAATTATGAAGCGTGAAACATGCCATGGCAATGTTTCTTTGTGTCACGAATGGGAATGGTGCCATCCTCTTCAATATAGGAAAACGTGACTTCAAAACACCAAAAGCACGCTCAATGACATTCCGAAGTTTTGCATGTCCATGGTTAAATTTTTCCTTATTGGTCAATGCACGTCGTTGACGAAAATCTCCAAGCCAATACCTCACATTACGATAAGGGGCGATAAATCCTCGAGTGTGTGCATATGCGGCATCACAAAGATAATATTTGTCTGTAAAAAATGAAAAACACTAATCAATTTTCAAACTAAGATAATAGTATTTAAAAAAAACAAAAACTTACCGGGTGGTGGAAATGGGAATGATGATTGTGGATCGGTTATTGCTTCTGACAATATTCTAGAGTCATGCGCTACCCCTTCCCACCCGGCCACAACAAATGTGAAAATCATATTGAAGTCACAAATTGCCAATACGTTTTGGTAGCAGTCTCCCTTTCCCCTACTTCTATACAAGTCTTGTTTCTTAGCAGGTACAACAGCATGTATCAAAGTGCCATCAAGTGCACCGACCGCCCCTTTGAAAACCCGTCGTAGCCTCCTATTATGTCCTGGAATGTTTGGATTCGGATTAAAAGAAGTTGGTACTATAACATCTTGTGCGAAAAGCATCATTTTTTCCAACACTTCATAAAAAATTTTATGAATTGTTTGCTTCGAGTGTTGAAATCTCCGCTTGATAATCATGTAACGTTGATTATGGCCGATCATCATCAAAAACATGGCCATCTTTTCCTCAACCGATACATGTTTGTTGTCCTTTAATGAATAAGTTGCTCTAAAATGAGCACATAGTTGTACAAAAGAGTCACGAGACATGCGTAGTACTTCAACACGTTGTAAACGATTACGATGTAACAACTCCAATGTGTATTCATGTCCTGTCATTTCCGAATCATTATCCCGCAATCGTTTCACACCCCTCTTCCAAAAAAAACGGATGTACAGGTACATAAGAATTACGAGAAGTAACTTTTGATCGTGATCCATTATGAACCTAAAATCAACAAAGTAGAACTTTAAAAAACATTACATTAATCATATTTCAAGTAGCAAAAAAAAAAAAACATTACATAAACCATATTTCAAGTAGCAAAAAAACATACATAAACTATATTTGACGTAGCAAATACACATTACATTAATCATATTTCAAGTACCAAAAAAACATTAGATAAACCATATTCCAAGTAGCAACATAACAAAAAAATAGTTCCAAGAAAAGAAAAAAGACCTAACAAAATAGTTCCAACAAAGGCAAAAAGACCTAACAAATAGTTTCAACACTAGAACAATCATCGGACAATCTTTCCATCCTTCAAAACTCCTAAACTTGTACCCGTCATCTCAAGCCATCCTCGTAATATCTCAGGAACATCGGGCAAATGCATCCACATCTCTCTCATGTTCATGGTTCCTCCAAAAATATGATATGCAACAAAGCGCAAAGGATCGGTGGGGCCTAACTAAAGCACCTCTAACTTCTCTAAACATTGAGGGATTGTATACCCTTTAGTCAAACTTTGTAAAGCTTTTTTCATTTCTAATGCTAAATCGTCGCCAGTAATAGAAGTTCCATCAGGTGAAAAAGCAGACGGTGAGGCACTAGGAGGTATAGGAGTTGAGGGTTTAGCCCTTTTGTTGGGGTTACCAGATGGTGAAGCAGTATATGGTGAAGCAGTAGAAGGTGAAGCTGCAAAAGGTGGAGCGGCAGAAGGTGAAGCGGCAGAAGGTGAAGCAGCAGAAGGTGGTGGCTCATGGTGGGAAGTGTGTTCACCATCATCATCTATTGCATGAAAAGGGGTGGCGGTAATCTGAAGTGGTGGAAGACGATAAGAGGATGCTCCAGCTACTGATGATGATTGGGTTGAGTAACTCCTAAAATTACCAGTAGCACTATTTCCATCAAAAAGACGTGCACAAAGATCTGGAAAAGGCAGTGGAATTGTTCTCAATGTGTAACACCGTAAATTTCAAAACAAATTTTTCGATTTTCTTATAAAACATAATTCGATTAATATTCATCAAACAACCATATTAATTATCCAATATAGGTTAATACAAAATCCCAAGATCACAATGTAAAACTCCGAGTATGTGTGTACGGATCAAGCCGGCGCCTTCCCGCGGTCGTCACTAGTACCTGAAACAATAACATCAAACACTGTAAGCACAAGGCTTAGTGAGTTCCCCAAAATACCACATATAACACATATTAGCCAGTCGAGGCTATAACTCTGTGGGTCCGTGCACCCAAACTCTGTGAACCCTCAGGTTCTAGCTCTGATAAACATGCACTACATAAATCACATAGAAATAATGCAGTACAACACATAACATACATAGCATACAAATACTCTATCACATAACTCTGGTTACCTACTCAAGGTAATATAGTATAGTGAGAAGACTCACCTCGCGTATCTCGGTATCTCACGAATCCTGGAAATCCCTCGTGCTCGATCCTCCGAGCTCTAATCCTCCTATAACATTATATGTTTCTAATTAACACTTTATATCTCTAAGGTTGACTATCTATAAGAAGTCAACACAGGTCAACTCTGGTCAACGGTCAACGGTCAACGGTCAACTCTGACCGGACTCGGCGAGTACCATGGCGACTCGGCGAGTCTAGACGTTTTCACCAACCCTCTGAAATCCTCTTACTACACGTCGAGTATCCCCCCTTTACTCGACGAGTTTCACCTGAATGAATCGCGGGGCCACCCCGACTCAACTCGCCGAGTCTCAAGGACAACTCGGCGAGTCCAAGTTTGACTAGTCCACTCGTCATCCCTCTCCAACTCACCCTGACTCACTGAGTCTACCCATGACTCGATTGGACCACTCGCTGAGCAGTCCCAAGGCAATCTTCAAGCTACTCGCCGAGTCGGATGAACAGACTCGGCGAGTCCATGCCATGCAACCACTCCAACTCGCTTCTAAGGTCAGATCTGCTTCCAAAAACTATAGATCTGGCCTCCCTCGACTGATTCATCACGTAAAGCTCCTATCTTGGTGCTCATAACACACCCTATAGCTCAATAATGGAGTTTTTGACCTAAGGCATGAGGATTCCAATCCAAAGCCTCCATTGATCCCAAAAAGCTTGGGTAAAGGGACACTCTGGACCTCTAAGGGTCCAGATCTATGGTTCCAACCTCATAAGGGACCAAAAGGACACTAAATCTTGCCATAAAAGGGTTCAACAAACCCTAAATCTAGATAAACAACAACAAACAAGAAGGTAACTCGGATTTATTACCACAAAAGTGATGCTCTGGACTCCAAACCCACAGAAGTGGCTCCTTCTTGCTTTCCCTTGGCTAGCTCTTCTCCTTCCTTGCAACAATGGCACCTCCAAGGTCAATAATGGCCTCCTACTTAGCTCCAAATGCTCACACTCGATTAGGGTTTCACTCAAGGGGCTGGTGAGCACAAATGACGGCCATTAGGCCCTTTAAATAAGTCTCAAACCCGAGAAATTAGGGTTTCATTACACAGCGCTGACTCGCCGAGTCCATATCCTGGACTCGTCGAGTCCAGGCGCGATCCCGCGTCCAAATCCGCGTCCCTACTCGGCGAGTCTGAGCTCCAACTCGCCGAGTCCCCCTCACAAATCAACAAAATACAATAAACAAGATACCTGATAAAATCCGGCTGTTACAACTCTCCCCCACTAGGACTAGACTTCGCCCTCGAAGTCTCGCTCTAAAAACAGTTCCGGATGCTGCTCCTGCATCATACGCTCTGGCTCCCAGGTCATCTCTGATCCCCTCCGGTGTTGCCACTGAACCAACACCAGAGGTACCTCCTTGTTTCTCAAAACCTTGATCTTCCGATCCCTGATGGCCACTGGTCTCTCGGCATAATTCAGGCTTGCATCTACCTGAATATCCTCTAACGGAACCACTGCCGATTCATCGGCTATACACTTCCTCAACTGCGACACATGAAAAGTGTCGTGAATCTGTCCCAACTCTGCTGGCAACTCCAACCGATAGGCTACCCGGCCTACCCTCGCAATCACACGAAATGGACCTATAAACCGGGGCCCCAACTTGCCCCTCTTCCTGAACCGAATCACCCCTTTCCAAGGAGAAACCTTCAGGAGAACGAAGTCGCCGACCTGAAATTCAAGCTCGGACCGGCGCCTGTCCGCATAACTCTTTTGTCGGCTCTGGGCGGTCAATATCCTCTGTCTGACCCGCTGTATCTGCTCTGTCGTCTGAATCACGATCTCTGTACTGCCATCACTCTCTGCCCAACCTCACCCCAACAAATAGGAGTCCGACACCTCCTACCATACAACAGCTCAAAGGGCGGCATACCGATGCTCGAATGATGGCTGTTATTGTAGGAAAACTCTGCCAAGGGTAAATACGTATCCCAGCTACCCCCAAAATCCAATACACATGCTCGAAGCATGTCCTCAAGCGTCTGAATCGTCCGCTCACTCTGGCCGTCTGTCTGGGGGTGATATGCGGTACTAAAATGCAGCTTAGTACCCAACTCCTCATGAAATTTCTTCCAGAATCGGGAAGTGAAGCGCACATCACGGTCCGAAACAATCGAGATCGGCACCCCATGCCGAGATACTACTTCTCTCACATAAACCTCCGCCAACTTCTCCGCCGAAGAACTCTCACTGATGGCAAGAAAGTGAGCGCTCTTCGTCAACCTATCCACAATCACCCAAATTGCATCAACTCCTCTGGCAGTCCTCGGCAATTTGGTGATGAAATCCATAGTGATCTGTTCCCACTTCCACTCGGGAACCTCCAATGGCTGCAACTTGCCATGCGGTCTCTGGTGCTCGGCCTTCACCCTTCGACAGGTCAAACACCTCTCGACAAACCATGCGACGTCCCTCTTCATACAAGGCCACCAATACTCTTTCCTCAAATCCAAATACATTTTTGTAGCCCCGGGATGGATCGAAAATTTCGATCTATGAGCTTCCTCCATCAATGTAGTACGCGTACGCCCACAAACGGTACCCAAATCCGGCCCTGAAAAGTCATAAGCCCTCGACTATCCGACACAAACTCAGAAACCAAACCAACGACCCGTTCTCTCTTCTGCATCTCCGGATGCACAGCCTCGGCCTGTGCCCCACGAATGGCGTCCAGAACTGGAGCTATCACGGTCAATCTCAAACATACATTTCGCAGTGGAGTACTCTCCGCCCTGCGACTCAATGCGTCGGCTACCACATTAGCCTTGCCCGGGTGGTACAAGATCTCGCAATCATAATCCTTGACTACATCTAACCACCTCCTCTGCCGCATATTTAGGTTAGGCTGATCCATCAAGTACTTCAAGCTCTTATGGTCCGTGTATATCGTACAACGAACCCCATACAAGTAGTGCCGCCAAATCTTGAGAGCGAACACCACTGCCCCCAACTCTAAATCATGTGTGGGATATCTCGTCTCATGAGGCTTCAACTGCCTCGATGCATATGCTATCACATGTCCCTTCTGCATCAGCACCGCTCCCAGCCCTAAAATCGATGCATCACAGAATACCACAAAATCTTCCATCCCTTCCGGAAGAGCTAATACCGGAGCTTCGCACAACCTTTGGCGAAGCGTCTCAAAGGAGGTCTGCTGCTCGGGACCCCATAAAAATGTAACACCCTTCCGGGTCAATCTGGTGAGTGGCACTGCGATCTTGGAGAAATCCTTGATAAACCTCCGATAGTACCCTGCCAACCCAAGGAAGCTCCTGATCTCAGAGGGTGACTTTGGCACCTCCCATCTCATCACCGCGTCAACCTTGGCCGGATCGACCAATATCCCTTTCTGATTAACGAGGTGCCCAGAAACTGGACCTCCCGCAACCAGAAATCGCACTTGGAAAACTTTGCATAAAGTTTCTCCGATCTCAAAACTCCAAGAACTTCCCTCAAATGCTCCTCATGCTGCTCTCTAGATCTCGAATATACCAGAATATCATCGATAAACACAATCACCGACCGATCCAACATCGGCCTGCATACCCTGTTCATGAGGTCCATGAACACAGCCGGGGCATTGGTGAGCCCAAAAGGCATCACCACAAACTCATAATGCCCATAACGCGTCCTGAATGCTGTCTTCTGGACGTCCTCGTCCCGCACTCTCACCTGATGATAGCCCGACCTCAAATCGATCTTGGAGAACCAAGATGCTCCCTGTAACTGATCGAATAAATCGTCGATCCTCGGCAACGGGTAACGGTTCTTGACCGTCAGCTTATTCAATTCTCGGTAATCAATACACATTCGATGCGAGCCGTCCTTCTTCTTCACAAACAGAATGGGTGCTCCCCACGGCGAGCTACTCGGCCGAATAAACCCCTTCCCCAGCAGCTCCTGAAGCTGCGAGGATAACTCTTGCATCTCTGGAGGTGCAAGACGATAAGGCACCTTAGCGATAGGCGCGGCTCCCGGAACCAAATCGATACCGAACTCCACTTGCCTCACGGGAGGCACACCTGGTAATTCTTCGGGAAAAACATCTGGAAACTCACGCACCACCGGAACTTCATCCACTGAACTCGGTCTCTCGGAGATCACTCGCGTATCCATCACATACGCCACAAAACCCTTACAGCCCTGCTGTAAACACTGCCTCGCCCTAGCGGCGAACAAAAGGCTGATCCAGAACGTGTACCCTCGCCGTATACCGAAAGAACTCCCCCACTAGGATCTCGTATGGTCACCAGCTGACGCTCGCAGTCGATAACCGCGCCGAATCGGCTCAACCAGTCCATGCCCACTATGACACAGACATCACCCATCGCAATAGGAACCAGATCGATCGGAAACTCAACCCCAAAAATCTCTAACACACATCCCCGGAGGACCTCCGTGGCACAAATCACTCTGTCGCGGCTATGGAAACCCGCAGAGGCCGACTCAATGCCTCACGACTAACACTGATATGCTGACTAAAGGCCAAAGATACAAAAGACCGACTCGCACCCGAGTCAAATAACACTAAAGCAGGCACAGAGTTCACAAGGAAGGTACCTATGCATAGCATAATATAAGCATAATATCTCAACACCAAAAATAAATATATAAAAGGAAACGTACCAGCCACAACGTCGGGTGCAGCGCGGACCTCTTCCGCAGTCAGCTGAAAGGCTCTCCCTCGAGCTCTCGGTGCCTCGGCCTTCACGGGCCGACTCTCTGTAGCTCTGATGGCGGCGGGAGCAGATCCCTGAGATGCTCCACGCAGCAGCGGACACTCCGCCTTCCGGTGTCCGGTCTGGTTGCAGTGAAAACACACTGCAAACCCTTTGGGGCAGTCCTTGGCCATATGCCCTCCTTGCCACATTTGTAGCAAGATCCTGCTCGACAGACTCCATCGTGACCCTTGCCGCACTTCCCGCAAGTGCGGCCCTTCTGGCTCCCGGGTTTGGGATCAGCGGGCTTGGCCCGCTTGGCTGCCGGCTGGAGCTGTGCCGGCCGCCGATCCTCCCCAGAGACTCCGCCTCCTCCCTGGCCTGAGTCTCAAGCTCAATCTCCCTCTTCCGGGCATTTGCCTGAAGCTCAGCAAATGTCCGATACGAGGAGTTCGCAGCGAACTCCCGAATATCCGTCTCAAAATGCTGTAGCGGCTCATACGTGCCTGCTCAGTGGACACGTGCTCAGGGCAGAACATCGCCCTCTCATGAAACATCCTCGTGATCGCTGTAACTGACTCAGTACCCTGCTTGAGGGTCAGAAACTCCTGTGCCAAACGCTCCCTCTCCACCTGGGGAACGTACTCATCTCGGAACATGGTAGTGAACCTCTCCCAGGTCACTGCCGAAAGCTCAGCAGGCGTGAAATGCGCCGT